ATTTCTATGTAAAGTACATATGGGAACCCCTCCCCGCAATAATTAAAAGGATTACTTGCACTATTACTGACATTTTTGTTTACTGTTTCGTATATGACTCTATTTGTTACTGGGACTGCCCATGTTATTAGAGACTCTCTAACCATAAAGTCATGGAACCACAAGCACTTGGGTATATTAATAGTTTAAAAGAATATTATTAAAATGCCAGTGCATTTAGGCCCTATTGGTACTTATAGGGTTAATACAGTAGAACAAACATAGAGCATTCTTGTTAGTGATGAATGAATAAGATCTCTATAACGAAAAATTAATATCCCATCTTGACTGTCAATGATCGTAAACTGCTTCAATACCTAAAGATAATTAAAGTTGAGAAGCAGTGAATTAACCTTAAAATAAGTGAATGATTTATCAATGAAAAGCATTTTGAGTATTCTAACCTAAGTGATTTTATTTGACTGTTGAAAATATAAATTAAAACTTTTTGGATAATTGTACTTCAGTTTTTTGATGGAATTTAAATATACATTATGCTTTTCGTGTACATTTAATAGTTGATTTCACAGATAATAAAAAACAACACTCGTTTTGAACAGTAATTCAGTATCAAAAGTACATGTATATTAATGAACACATCTGCAGAAAAGCAAAGTCTTTTTTTAAATATTATTTCATGTAATATTGTTTGGATGAAGATACTATAGAGATACGTAATATTGTAATTGGTGTATAATATTCCCTTTGTTGCGCATGTAATAAGAAAATTGTTATTCGTAATTTAAAAACAAATTCGTTATCTAGTGATCGAATTCGAACCTCTATAAACGTACTGGGTGATGCTTTTGGAGCAGGGATCGTCGATCACTTGTGTAAAAAAGAACTAGAGAAGATAGACGCTGAACATGCTCGATTAGAAATGGAAATAGCCGAAGCAGGCTACTTGCGTAAACCGTCACTGGCCGCTAGAGGGAGTCTTAGCGTTAACCCCAGTGTTGATAAGACAAACAGTACCAAACACAACGTTGCAGGAAGTACTGGTGGTTATGACGTAAACAGCGAAACTCAGATTTAGAATAAAAACTTTGTTCTAATTGGTCAGACGTCCATATTATCAAAAACTGTCCAGATGTTTCAGTCTTTAAGGGCAGACGTCTACTTGGTTGTAATAAGGTGTTACATTAATTAACCACGAAAGACTTGGAGTTTCTGGCACAAAATATAATAAGCGCTTTTTTATCTAATATTTTATGTGAATTAATTCATTAACCTCACTTTTTGTTTTATCGAAGAGAAAAAATGTCAATTAATCACAAACTACCTTCTACGACTATATGTTTCTTGTTGCTTTGGTTTGAAAAGTAACCTTTAAACAATTAAATTCTAAACACAAGTTTTCAAAGTCATATTATAAGAAGCAGAGAAATTAAAATGATGTATTGTTTCTTTAAGCTGTGCTGTTTCAAATATCAATAATGTTTTGGAGAATAAGCTTTTTTGAAAAACAACATTGCGTTATCTGTTTAAAAATAATCACCTGAAGCATCCGTACGAGAGAAATAATTAATTATTTAAACTGTATACAGATTTATATAATATTTTTTCAGCATTTTTGCGAAAATATATTACTAATTCATTGTCGACTCATAATATTTAAATACATTTACCTTTGAGAAGTAACTTTATTATTAAAACATGCCCAGTTCTGCATGGCAATCCTTAGGTGTTGTTGGTTTTTTTTTTAATTTTCATTAAGAAAAGAGAAAGAAAGACAAAATTCTAATTGTTGTTTCCATAAAGTTGGTTTGGGGAAAAAACACTTTCGAATATATGGGGAATTTTTACACAACTGGCTTTGGAACCTTTAATGAGAATGATTTTTGAACAGATGATACAGGTACATTCTACTGTATGTTAGTGTAATCATGATCATTATTGTAGCATTTTCTGTGTAACATGTGCAATGGCGATTTCATTTTTCCTTACCCTAAAATATGGGTGAAAGTATGTGCAAGATAGGATATTGTGTTCTTTATCTAAATTAACATTTGTGTTTGTTTTTTGTTGTTGTTTTTTGCTTTGTTTTTACGTAGTGCAATTATCTGATTAAATGCTGTGTTTAGTCCGACTGACTAATCTGCTTACAGATTAGAAGGCTACAGTGACAAAGAAGGCTTGTCTTTTCCCTCAGAGTTTTATTTATCTATTATATACGTATTCTGGCTTCACAAATAAAGCCTCAGCTTTTCGTACTATAAACGTTCCAAGCTCATTACAAAGTCAGTTGTAAAGCCTGAAGCTATGGGCTTTTATGAGCCTTGATATTACACGTTTACCCTGCTTATTAGTTCAGAACGTAGGTTGTTTTGCACAAATGTGTTATTTCCAATTTCACATACACTCTCCCCAAGTAAGAGTTATACACAAAAATGAATTTACTTCTCTCGGTTTCTTTTTAATAAAGCTCTTAGCAGACAGTGCTCAATAAGTGGTTTACTATACGCGTTAAAGATTGTGTAATACCCAACCCCATGAGAAGGTAGAAGACTAAATGTTAGAATATTCTACTTCGCGCCAAATCAAGTAGCACATTTAATTCACAGCTAACAATCAAAATCCTATAAAATCAATAGACTACAAACATTTTTTTACACATTTTCCCATAAGTGGAAATAATTGCTGGTAGTATCCCCTGGTGACTCAGATGTAAGGTTGGGGGCTTAGAACGATAAAATTCGGGGCTCGAACCCTCTGGTTGGCACAGCACAGATAGTTCAGTATGTTGTTTTGCGCTTAACAACAAGCAAACAAATTTTATAGTTTAAAGCAAATTAAGTTTTGAAACAACTGCGGCTCAACTCATTATTGGGAACAAAATCTTATGTTCTCGGTATCTTAGTTTGGAAAGCAGAAAAAGAGAGAGAGACAGTGGTAGCTCTATTTGAGGAGAGAGAGACAGTGGTAGCTCTATTTGAGGATATTTTCCAAAAAGTACACAAATATTCTCTAATTCCACGAAGCAGTGGCTCTCTTTCCACGTTGTAATCTTTTCCATCTGAGAAATATTTCTACAAGAGCTTTTGACGAAAGGAAGAAAGTCGAATAATATAAGTAAGATATATAGATAACTCGGAACTCGACCTCAACAGTCATTGGTTGATACATCTTTTGAGATATGCAGCTATAAGTAATTTGTTGTTTTTCAATGTTTTTCTTTTCTAAAAATCCGAAAATTATTGAGAGGTACTTTTTTTTATACTACCTTCAATTTCTCACCATATATTAAAACTTTGTTGTTATCTTGGATGTGTAATTACAGAATGATTAACCAAAAATAAAATAATATGATATCTAGTTTTGTTTAATGGTTTCTTTATTGCAAATCTTATTGTTCGAAACAAGAAATCGAGGAATTATAAAGTAGTATATGTTTTACAAGGTGGGCACACCACCGGTAGCCCCTTGTTTAAAATTTGCGCTTAACAACAAACAAACATGTTTTACAATTAAATCTTAAATACAAACATTCAGGTACATACCATTGTGAAACAATTTTCTATGTTTATCACGCAGTTTTGCGAATAAATTTAATTTTACATTAATTTCATTTTGTTTTTAATTCTAACACATTTGTGCCTATTGGTAGTTGTGTTAATTTCTTCATCACGACGTCCTCGCTAATAAACCCAGGAACTCTTGTTGAATAAGCAATGATGAAATAGATCTTGTTAGCTGTATTTCAAATTTATCTTTTTTTATGTCCTTTTAGAAACTTCCTTCAGAAACAATTACATAATAAATATGGTTGGTTATAGTTGGATTAAATAGTCTCATGTTATATTTTGAAAATATAAAACAAGTCGTTAGTAATAATGTTTGCAAGCAAAGACACTTAACCGAATTTCAGAAACACAAGAGTTTAGTACCATTTTGTGAAATAAAGTAATAAACAAAATAAAGCAAATACGTTTTTATTTTCCTTGTCTCTTTGATTTCATAAAATATAATGGTAACTTACATGTTTTCACCAAAAATGGAACTGCTTCTTTTCTACGATAGAATAAATGCCATAAAAAATTAAATGGGATATTTAGCAAGCAGTTATATAAACGTCAGTTTTTCTATTTTTCCGTTTAAAAAATCCACGGAATATTCAAGAAATAAAGTGGTTATTCTTATTTGTCAGTGGTGTAATATTTTCTCCTTTAAGCCCGTTTACAGCAGAATGTACGGATCGGTATGTATATATGATGATTCTTTCTCTCCATTGATTATTTTCGAAAATTTACAACATGAGAATATTTTTAACTTAACTGTGTGGCATGTATTGGTTTATGTTGTTTGATTTTTTCTGCATGAAAATTGTAGTATTAGTTACACAATTACGAGATAAGTGTGTGTGTGTCACAAGAGTATGAACATGCTTTTAATGGACGTATATAATTATATAAAAAAACAGGTGATTCGTTTTTACTGTGTTGTTTCTTTCCATCTGTGGATCTGTCGATTTCCGTGTATATCGCCCTCTCGCAGTATCTATTTATATATTGTGTTCCATTAAAGTTTTTATTCTCGCCACTTAAAGTGAAGTAGGATTTATAGCTACAGCTTCTCCTACCGTATGAAGTTGCTTCTCACATCAATTATACGTCACAAGCCCTCTAGTGCATAATCACATAAATATCTCAACTTACACAACAAAGATTTTCATTGTGATGTGTAAACCTCACAACAAGTTAGATGTAACTTTATGTACAATATTATCATAGAAACAACTCAATGATGTAACCTTATGTACAATATTATCATAGAAACAACTCAATGATATAACCTTATGTACAATATTATCACAGAAATAACTCAATAATGTAACCTTATGTACAATATTATCATAGAAACAACTCAATAATGTAACTGTATGGACAATGTTATCATAGAAACAACTCAATGATGTAACCTTATGTACAGTATTATCATAGAAGCAACTTAATAATATAACTTTATGTACAACATAATCGCAGAAACAACTTAATGATGTAATTTTATGTACAATATTATCATAAAAACAACTTAATGATGTAATTTTATATACAATATTATCATAAAAACAACTTAATGATGTGATGTTTTGTACAATATTATCACAGAAACAACGTAATGATAAAATCGGACTTTAATTCTTTTTAACAGAGAATGTACGATGCCTTAAAATACAGTGTCAGTTATCTTTCTTTTTCATACTTAATAATGTAATTTCTTTCAACTTTAAGTTGTAGCTATATACTTCAAACACAACCAGTTAAATCACTGCTTGTGGTTGTTGTCTTTTTAACTGATGTGCTCTTTTAACTGAACATTATTCAAACAGTTGAAATAATGTTTGAAAATTGTTAGGCTGTACAAATATATAGAAATAACAAGCATTTATATTAATTTCATAAAAGCACTGATACGATTTTTAACGTAAAATTAGTTGTACTTTAATACTCATGTAAAGTCGACCATAAATCTAAAGAGATAAAAACCAAGTGTTAAAGTTTTTTTTTTAACTCTGATTAGACAGTAGTTTTGCTCATCAAAGAAGATACCAGTAAATTTCTGTGGCTTAAAATTAATAGATATGTTCAAACTCAAAACTCGACTTTTTCCTTTGATTATAATCAAAAGAAGAGAAAATATTTTAATATTATAATACTTCTCATCGCTTTCTAAAGACATCTATCTTCCTCTGCTACTTAAGTTTTAGCTTAATTTTCGTAAATAATGTCGTTGTTTTAACATTTGAGTATTGGAAAGATTGAAAGAAATTTCTTTGTCTTGCTTTGAAGATGTAGTTTCTTGTTTTTGTCCCATGAAATACGATGTTTATTGCCTTTAATGCTTGATAAATGTGGACGCCTTCTAACAATAACCAGTTCTATATTTTTTTGGTATAACAATAACCAGTTCTATACTTTTTTGATATAACAATAACCAGTTTTTTTTTGGTATAACAATAACCAGTTCTATACTTTTTTGGTATAATATGTAATATCAAACATGTAAGTCTAGAATTCCGGTTATTATTTTTTTAAAGTTTATTGTTTCACAAATAGTTTTTACTTTCATGATTTTTTAAAGCAAAAGCAAGACAATATATATATATATATAGAGAGAGAGAGAGAAGAATCAGCTTAAAATAAATGTATTTCTTTCATATGCTGTTTTTGTTATATTATAAACATTTATAGGAATTTCGAATAAAATGTTTCTGTACATTAATTAAATTAATAAACAGCGAAGAATCAGAACCGGAATTTTACAAAAGTAGACTATCAAGAAAGTTTTTTCAAAAAGGGTTATATGTCACTCTATATAAGCAATATTCATACCACATTTTCTGCTATACATTTGAGAGATACTTACTAACCAGTGTAATTATAATACATACAAGTTGTGTGAAAAGTCTAATTGTCATTTTGTTGGAAAAATCCAGGTTAAAATCAGAGAACATTTTCAAAACAAATTTTAAGTCAATTAACATCAAAAACAGTTGCCACGGCTCCAAAGTGCGGAACACGTTTTTACGGTATTGAGACGCAGGCCAGTATTTATATTTATTACCTAAAAGTCGTTTTACATGTATGAAGCGTTGCGTCCTATTGATAAATTGTGTGATAATGATAGTTTTTTTTAATGTGTGATAACCGCTAAACAAGTAACATAGACATTTCAAGTTTTATTGAATGCAGAAAAAACACAATAAATAATCAAATCTAGTACCCAATATGAGGCTTAGATTCCTAAAAATATAAACATATGCAAATAGCGTACAGCAATCAGAATTTATCGAGTTTTTAGCCTATATGCAAATACTTTCAGTCAGGAAGAAACAAGCTCTAGACAAAGATTTGTGAAAAAAAGCGCTCGGATTATCAAGTTCCTCATATTCAAAGGATACTTTTGTCTGTGAAAAAATATGTCAGTTTTTTTAATATTGTGGAGAAAATATTTATAAAACTTAAAAAACTCTAACTCTGTCGTTATCTCAGCATGTTTTGAATTTAATACCAAAGACAATATGATTTATAATTATTAGTTATTAAATCTTTACACATACACAGTACAAAAAAAAACTATGGAGCTTGGTTTAAACTGCATATATCGTTTTTTATAAATTAAGGAAAAAGAACATTATGAACTACGGTATTGCTGAGGTCTAATAATTTTCAGGTTGTTATTAAGCCTTACTTTTCATAAAGCATAAAATCTGCGTCCGTTCTAATTAGGCCTCACTCTTTATGAAACATGTAATTATAATCGGCGTCCGTTCTAATGATTTCAAAACTTATTTAGCCGTGGCTGTGTTCTGATTAACATAAGTTACAATTTAATAAACACCAATTTCATGAAATGATATTTATCAAATTACGTATACGTTATTCTATGAAACAACCAGAAGAGATCGATATTAGCCTTCTCCTTTAAAAATACAATTAATAGTTAATACATTAATAGTTAATACAATGAATAGTTAATACATTAATAGTTAATACATTAATAGTTAATACAATGAATAGTTAATACATTAATAGTTAATACATTAATAGTTAACACAATGAATAGTTAATACATTAATAGTTAATACATTAATAGTTAATACAATGAATAGTTAATACAATGAATAGTTAATACATTAATAGTTAATACAATGAATAGTTAATACAATGAATAGTTAATACATTAATAGTTAATACAATAATAGTTAATACAATGAATAATTCATACATTAATAGTTAATACAATGAATAGTTAATACATTAATAGTTAATACAATGAATAGTTAATACAATGAATAGTTGATACAATTAATAGTTAATACATTAATAGTTAATACAATGATTAGTTAATACAATTAATAGTTAATACAATGATTAGTTAATACAATTAATAGTTAATAGGCAACGCACAGAATGCCCTACGTATAGCTTTGTACTTAACAAAAACCATCCTTTAAAATAACATGATAACTGCAGATACTAAAGTTAATT